GGTTCTACAGGGTTTCTGTCTGCAAAATGCTCAAGAAATGTGGACCGTGCTCAGAGTGACACATGAAGAACGGATGACGTAAAGAGGGCAAGAAAGGAAACTCCCTAATTCAATAGTATGAATGTTCGGATGAAGCAAGGAGAAACAATTCCGACGTTTCAAAAACGATTCACCACATTGTCAATCATCTCATTGGACTAGGTAAGTCATTTGATACTGATGAATTAAACATAAAAATCTTGAAAGCTTTAGACAGGGTCGTGGCCAACCTAAGGTGGACTGCAATATCGGAGTCACAAAACCCAACACCATGACTATGGCGGCACTATTTGGAAAGTTGAGGGAACATGAAACTAGATCTTGGAAGACTTGATAGAAGAAGCAAAAGCCAAAAACAAAAGGAAGAGTTGGCATTAAAGTCGGAGGTTGAAAGAAGCCAAGGTAAATCGGAAATGAGACTCAGACCGAAGAAGAAAATTTGAGATTCATGATAAAAGACTCAACAGGTTCATTGAAATCGAACGACAAAGGAAGATTAAAATTCGAAAAGAAGAAAATCAAGGATCTTCCTAACACTATAAATTTATGGTTGTCGGAGAAAGGGGGCACCTAAAAGCAGAACTGCCCAAATCAAAAGAAGGTTGAAGACAAAAAGGAGAAAAAATTCTTCAAGAAAAAGAAGGCATACATTGCATGGGAAGATGACAACGAAACAATTTCCGATTGAGCGAATCTGATGAAGAAGCAACATGTGTTAGTGGTGAACGACGACGCTGAAGCCAAGTAAGTTACATCTAGCGATTCTGTAATTATATCAAATAGTGAGATGAATTGCATGAAACTTATGCGCTTTAATAGTAGAATCTGAAAAATTAGATAAAGCTCATAAGAAATTAAAAGGATTTCACAATTTAAAATTAAATTTTGAAAAATTCTTGAAGAAAATAAAAATTTAAAATTAAATTTTGAAAATATTTTTGAAGAAAATAAAGATTTGAAAAATAAAGTTTTTATTTTTTGAAAAGGGTAATTTACTAGTAGTGATGATGTGCTTCTTGTGAAATTTTAAGAAACTACTAGAACACACAATCTTAGGAGAATGTAGTAAAAATAACGAAAATAAGGTTGTTAAAATAAGTATGTCCTAAAATTAAAAAAACATAATAATAGACGTAGAACATGGGTAGAAAAAAAGGAACAACTTATAGGAACACACTTTGTATCATGCTTTTATTGTAGAAAAAGGGTCATACTTCAAATTAAATGTAAAATTAGCATTATGGTGTTCCAAGTGGAGATATGTTTGGGTTGTAAATGATTTCTTTTTTTCTAAATCTAACCAAAGGACCCATACAAGTAGTTGGTACCTATTGTTTAATATTTAGAATTCTTTAAAACAAATTTAAGAAAATTTATTCCAAGGCCGATGAAACTATTTTTTTGGATATCTTCTAATATACAAAGCATATATAGTTTTCAACGGAAAACATTTGAAATAGAAGAATGTGTGCATGTTGTCTTTGATGAAATTGTAGACCTTGAGGCAAAACCTCTTGAGTCAATTGAATTAGATGCAGGCAATGGATGAGATTTGTAGAAGACAACAAATGAAGCGAAGATGATGACAATCCTCAGAGATTGAAGATTTCTTAAACAAAATGTGGGAAAACAACCTAGGAGGATATCATTACGAAGTTGGAGGACATATTCTAAGGGGATTAGAAAAGAAGACGGAGAGACTTAGAATAGGAAGAAACTTTCTTTGAGAATCTTAGAAATATCTTAGATTGATTTTTGTTTATAATTAAATAAATGGCGGTTCAGTTTGCATTTGAAAAAACTAGCCCATATTTTTATGTTTATTTTTTGCATTTAAAATTCCTATCTATATAGTTCAATGTTATGTTTTAAACAATGTTTTTTATAAGTTTCTTCATACATAAATTATTTACTTTTAAATCCTATGTGTATGTATTTGTTTGAATGAATCTAATTTAAATTTGAATATTTTTAGCTCATATGCATACATGCTTTTATTAAGGGGGAGTATCTGGGTGAAATCGGAAACAGGGGACATTCCAAAGGAGAGGGAGGGGAGAACATCAAACACAACCTTTTTAATTGGATCATCAAAAGGGGGGAGAAGAAAATGTTTATTTATTTTTTTTAAAGCTTATTAAGCTTATGTTGCTTATTTGTGTTATTCCACTAATGCACTTTTTCTTCCATAAGTTGTGTTTTATCCAGATTTATTACTAAAAAAGCTTTTTTATCTCGAGTAAGGAATTTTTGATCATCATCAAAAAGGGAGGAAGTAGATCAAGAGAATGTTTAGCAAAAATCAAAAGATGAAAGTTTGATTGAAAAATGACAGATTTGCACAAGTCAGAAGATCATAAAAGGACAAATGGAAAGAGATCTCTGTATTTTATAAAGCTTTTATAATAATCAAAAGTTGATTTGTAAATTAGTGCTCAAATATCTTATGTAGGGTTTCTTGATTCTTGTAATTATATTTTGAGTTATTTAGTTAATGATTATTCCTGGAATAATCAATTAACACTAGCCGTTTGGGGTTCAGTTTTCAGATTTGAAAAAACTAAGCCGTTGTACTCATATGTACCATTATAATCGAAATTAGTTATCGATATTTTTTATTTTATTTAATCTTTGATTTTTTATTTAAGGTTTTGAGATGGCCCGTTTTCGAAGAAAATGGAAGGGATATTAGGCTGGAGTTCTATAAATGGCTCCTCTTTATCTCAAAATAACTCTTCCCTTGTTTGCAAAAAAGATTCTATGAACTCATTTGAGAAATCTGTGTGAGATTGTTGAAGGGACTAAGGAAACTCTTGTCTGCAAGTCCTGGAAGGTGTGGTACCTGTGGTGACAGAGGAATAGCTTGTTCATCCTTTGGTGTGTCTGGAGGAAAGTGTCTGGAAGAGGACCTATCCTTCTGTGAAGCATTCGAGAGGTAGGTATAGTCATCCTTTTGTGAAGATTCAAAGGATTTGTTGTTTGGGTGTAGTTCATCTCTTGTGGTTTCAAGAGAGGTGGTAATTTCTAAACTGTTACAAATTGTTTTCTGTGTGACTAATATTTGTAACTGTTTTTGTGATAGTGAAAAAGGTTTATCTTGTTGAGATAAGCGACTGGAGTAGGATCCTAGTGATCTGAACCAGGATAAATCACCTGTGCAATTTTTCTCTTTCCCTTACTCTGTTATTTAATTCAAATGATAGTAGTAAGAAAGAATTGAGAGAAAATATTAAAAAGTATAATAAGGAGAATATAATCAATTCACCCCCCCTCTTGGTTTGTTACCACGCTAATAATTCCGCTGCAGCGATTCTAACAGAGTGAAGTAGGGAAGTTGTTGGAGAGGAATTTGGAGGAAAATATTGACCAAGATTGTCAATATTTGGACTTATTTGTTTTCTCTGCAAGAGGCATCACCTAATCTCACACCATGAAGATGCAGGGAAAAGTAAAAGGAAGATCCGTGTTGGTGTTGGGGCGAGTCACAACTTTATATCTTCAGGGTTGGTGCAGTTACTTGATCTACCAGTGGAATCTACTCCACCTTATGGTTTTAGATTGGGAGAAGAATACAAAAAGCAGACATAAGGATGTTGTAAGGATGTAGAAATGCAGTTTGAAGAATACAAGGTCAATGAGACATTTTTCTTGTTTGAACTTGGAGGAGTAGATGTAATTTTGGGTGTAACTTGGTTGGCAACATTAGAAGATGTTAAGGTGAATTTGAAGACTTTATTCATGAATTTATGCACTCAAGGCCAACCAGTCAAAATTAAAGGAGACCCCACTTTGGCAAAAACTTTGGTGACCCCACAAGTTTTGAGAAAAGAATCTGAAAAAGGTTTCTGTTATATGGGAGATGCAGACCCGACAAGATATTAAGCTTAAGTTGTTGAAGAAAGGTGTTGAGTCTATAAATAGAGAAGGACTTTCCAAATGGGATGCCGCGAAGCAAAGGGAGAGATCCTTTCTTCTACAGAAGCCAAGGGATGATGAAAGTAATTTATTAGATTCAAAGTCTTCAAGTATGGGAAACTGCATGGGCTGAATTTGGTTCCAATATGGATGAGCCAAACACCAATAATAAGCAACATCTATCCCGCTAATTGCAACAACTATCCCATTAAGTGCAAAAGTTGTCCCACTAACCTCTCTCCCCTAAATGCAACATTTGTCCCACTAACTATAACAGTAGTCCCACTAACTCAAAGCTACATTAATTTCTTTTTTTTCTCCGACGATACACTCTCCACCCCCTCCTTATTCCCCTTGTTCAAAGTGCCTTTGAAGGAAGGTTATTTGGTTTTACCAAATGAGATTCAACTTGCTCAACAATCATTATTAGAAGATGTGTACTGGAGGAGACAAGTGTTGAAGTGGAAGCACAAGAGTCTCAACAAGTGTTGGTGTAATAGCAAGAGGGCAGATCTAAAACAGTCATGTGGGAAACACTTCTGCCATTAAAGTTCAATTTTCAAAATTCAACCTTGGGGACAAGATTGTTGTTGCAGTAATGGGTATTGTTAGGAAGGGAAATATTGAGAGAGAGGAATGTGTATTGGATCCTTGTATGAAAGGGTGCTACTTTTCGTAACAGAAAGTCCTTGATGTTAGTATTGTGAAACTTAATTTAGTCTCACATCCCTTAGTACTGTGAGATGTTGTTTTCATTTTGCTATAAGCAACCCCATGTAATGAAGGAGACACATAAATACAATGCATCATAGCTAACAACATATGGCAGGAAACAAAACTCTTACCAAAGGGAAACATCAGGCTAATCAGGTAAAGAAAATACAATCCAATTGGCTTCTTGTATCTCTTCAGAAAAATAAATACCATGACACCAAAGCCCTAACACCATCCCTTAGAGTATTTTATGTTTTTGATCTTTGAAAGCTTTCCATTAATTTAATGTATGGTCCCTCAAAAGGTAAAATTAGTCTATGGAACCCACAAGCTGGAACCCATAGCCCTGACCTTGAAATTAAGTTCCCCCAATGGACCCTAGTACATCAATGTAAAACCAAGAGAAAAATATAACTAATAAATAACCAGGGACTTTTGCTTTGAGGCTTTAAAATGCAATCCGCGACCACAACTTCAATTGCAATGTCAAGGTTTTTCGAGTCTCAACAGGCACATTGTGCTCGCATCTGCTACGTTTTGTTTAATGGACAATATGACTATTAACATCTGTGCAGTAGCCGAATTGTGGCTTACTTGTCTATTTTCTGTTAATTTCTAATCCATAAAAGAAGTATCAGCAAGGATCAACATTCATCATTGAGCAGAAATAAAGACTGTCTACGTGATCAATTTATCATGGCTATACAGAATAAAGAATCACCTGAGTACGGCCCTTCTTTGTGGCAATATGCAACGCTGTATTTCCTTTATTATCTTCCAAGAGTAAAACTGCTGGGTCAGGTTTTACCAATTCCAGCAAAATTTCTTTATTTTGCCCTTTCACAGCCATGTGTAGTGCAGTTTGGCCTTTCTTATCAGTTCTAAATCCAGTGCTTGGATCCTTGTTTAATAAAGCTTTCACAACTTCCAAGTGCCCCATCCTAGCCGCAGAGTGAAGGACAGTTTTACCATTATTCCTGGCTATTTTAGCAAGGTTAGAATCTGATTCCAGAAGGAGATTAACCACATCAATATGACCTTGACTTGCAGCTGTATGTAAAGCAGTTGAGTTGGACAAATCAGTGGTCATGGCCAAGTTGGGAAAGGACTGCAGTAGTTCTCTCAAAACCTCTGCAAAATTTTTTTTCAGTCAGAGATATATCGAGAGAGAATGAAATAACAGGCATGGTATTTGTGAAAAATATCTTTGGTTCTGCTTGCCTAGGATTCTCACCCATAGTAGTATATCAGAAACTTAAACAACACTATCTGAAAGGCAAAGTAGTAAAACCATTGAAGCCAAATATATAATCGTAAAAGAATAAACTAGATGTGCATGTCAATTTCCTGAGAAGCCACAATAATACAACTCATGTCTTCTCTAACTTCATTTTCAATATGCATAAAGAGAGACAGTTGCACAGGCAGGGATAAGGGAAGGATGGAATAATACAATCATTCCTGGACAATGTTTCTTTAACTAGGAAACACAAATTTCCAACTGTCTTAAACAAATCAAAAGTAACACATCCAAAGAGCGGCTTATTTGAAAAAATTATGGAAAAAGACTGAAAGGACAGGATGGATTTTTGGTTTTGGTTTTGGTTTAGATCTTAATTAACTAAAAATCAATAGGTAAGATATCACACCAACGCACAACCTTTTCAGGGTAATTATGCTCCGTTCATTTACATTGTAAAACTGTTACAAAATCCAAAACCAAAAAAAGAAAATTATGGGGAGTCTAGGCCCAAACATAATTGCAAGTGTCTTACCAAGATGACCTTGCTTTGCAGCAATATGGAATGGATCATAGCCATTTCTGGCCGCAATAGAAGCGGTTTGCAGGTCCAAGTACTTCAGTATCTCACTAACAACCAAAGCATGCCCATTCTCTGAAGCGACATAAAGAGGGGTCTCCCCCTCTAGGTTCTGCTTTGCCAACAAATCTTTCGTCTCACAATTAGAATAGTTTTGTATTATCTCCTTCACTCTGCTCAGGTTCCCTGCCCGAGCTGCTAAATGAATTGGTAAGTCACCACGTTTCCCAGGTGACTCCTTGCTCTTCTTCTTTTCGCTTCCCATAAAGCTGAGCTGCTTCTCCATCACTATGCGAAAACTCTTCTGTTTTTCCATAAATCCACGAAAACTCTTCTGTTTTTCCATAGTAGATGCCCGAAAACTGCTTTGTTTCTCCATTATCACTTGAAATCGCTGTCCGTGATAACAATGAAAATTTCTATCTCTCTACGAGGCAACAGAAGAAAAATTTAGAAGACCATTAATATTCACCAATAATCAAACTTATACAGACGGATAATTGGGTTTCGTATACATCAAACACGCTTATTTGAGTAAATTAACTCATCAAGAATACAAAGATACCACGAAGCAAACCAAAAGGCAAAAACTATTTTATCTATTTTCCATCGTTAACTTGGAAGTCAGAGATGCCTGTAGACTGGAAGGGCGAATACAATCATAAAATAGCACGAATATTAGAAATTAATTCATAATACCTAGATGCTAAACTCGGTGAAGTTGGACAGATAAATAGATCGAAACACAAAATCTGGAGGGCCGAAGACCGATTTTCAAAAACTCATGACTTAAAATTGTTCCGAAGCTAAAGGAAAAGGATCACTTAAGATTCATGCGTCTAAAATTTTTTCAGAATAAGAAAAAATTAAAATTTTGGGAACAAAATCACAGCTGAAGTGACACTAATACCGCCAACAACAAGCGCAGAGTAACTTTTTTAATCCTATGCTAAACAAGGAACGAATAATCATCAGTCTTATCACCAGCCAACACGCACTAAATTGTAAAAGGAGTTTTGCGTAATTTACTTATTATTGTAAGGTTTAATTATATAAAATGGTGCTTTTTCGCATTTAAGAAAAAATAGCCACTTCTTACTTATATTTTATTTTTTGTCTTAATTGTTTTTTTGTTAGTGTGATTAGCTAAGTCATGACCTCGTTAACGAAGCACCAGGTGAGCAGTATCACATATTCATCGCGTCACCATTTATTTATATTAAAAAAATAAAAACGTAAGTTTTGAAATATTTTATGTTTGTTTTGTTTTATTCATTAGGGAGAAAATCATGAAAAAACTTCAAAGTGAGGACACAAATCGTGACTTGAAAGAAGGGGTTGGAATTATTATGGTCTGGTTTCCTCAATGTTAAGTTCTAATTTCTAATTTTGTAAAGAAGGTGAATGCAATGCTTAAGTTTTTATTATCGTTGTCCTTCTTTCTATTAGAAATTGTGACTTGTAAAAATCACATTGATTTTAGTATTGATTTTATAGAGTAGGAAAGAAGTTTAGAAACCTCCATATTGGAATGGATAGACATCAATTGGACACAATTTTCTATTTTGTATTTTTTTTTTCAATTTTTTTCATGACTAAGGTAGAAAATAGGAACTTCAGCTTTTTCTGAACCATTTCATTTTCAGAGTTTTGATTTCAAGCCATTCGTAACTTAGGTCACTTTCTACTTTCAATCTTTCTTCTTAAAACTTGCTTCCGCTAATTGTTCCTTTTACCCACTATTTTTCGTTTGCAACCCAACCTTTCGCTGATGGTTGGTTTGCTACCTAAGCCACCACTATTCCTTCCGGTGCTGCTCTGTTTCGCGTATTTTCACTGACGAGTTGATTTTCTGTTTTGTATATGCTTTGCGCATTTTCAAAGAGTTGGTATCTTGTTTCATTCTTTTGGTGTTGTTCAACGAATCGAAGAAGACATATAGAAGTAAGATACATAACCTCGTCTCCTTGGTCATAAAAAGTTCAAACATTTTTTTAACCCTGTTTCATTCTTATTTTTTTATTAGTTTTGTGCGGTCACGTATTGTTGAGGACTGAGGAGTAGTTTCTTACGGCTTTGCCTTTAGAGTAGGGAATATTATGGGCTGGGTTTGGTTTAAGAGGAGGAATATTTGTGTGGGGAGTTAAGTTTTAGAAAAGTGGTTTTTTGGGTTCTTTATGTTTGTTATTAGTTGAAGAGTTGAAGGTTATATCTCTAATTCTTAGAAAGTTCTTCCTATGTTGTTTAGTGCTAATTGTTGAAAGAAAATGGGTGACTTGCGTTTGTGGAGTTTGGGTAATGGTTGTGGCAGGAGGATAGAATGGATTTATAGGTTGTTGCAGCTACTGTTGAAACTGGCTATTTGGCTAAATATTGAAACAGGGTAACAAAACATGGTGATAGATCTTCTCATGTGTCTTCCGAGGATTCATGTTTTGAGAATCCTGTCACCTCAAGCAGTGTACCAACGACGACGTTTTGACGAAACAACGTACCAATGTTGCATTTTTTTTTATCTATAGTGATTCACGTTGTTCACCTCCCCATCGATGTGATTGCAAGACGTTCTGGGAAGGAGAAATATATGTCAACAAGCACCAACATGGTCCATATAATGTGAGTAACGAAGGAGAAATATATGTCAACAAGCACGAACATGGTCCATATAAATCCATTATTTAAAAAAAAATAAATTAAAATTAAAAAGGCAGAATTGTATTTCGCTTTCGAAGATTTTATGTTTAATGAATTTTAAAATTCATTGAATGAAGGAACAGATTTTGAAATTCATTAAAAAATAAAATAAATTTCAAAATCTGTGATAGAATCAGTTTTCAAAATCTGATTATGCAAAAAAATCATTTCCTGATCAAGCTTTTCCATTCACACTTATTTGTTTTAAACTCAATTTCTAAGCATACAAACTCTAATTCTACACATACAAGCATACAATTATTCTTCAAAAGACACATTGAATAAAGTTTGAACAAAATTGAGTATCAACCTTTTATGCACCAATTAAAAACACCAACGAAGCTGGAGTAGATCCAGTAAAGAGGAACGGAAAGGAGGTGGAAGAAAGAAACAGGAGAAGAGAAGAAGGTGGGGTTGAGAGGAGAGAAGGGAGTGTTGTGTGCAGCGAAAAAGTGAGAGTAAGAGTGAAGAGAGAAGAGTTTTTAGGTTTAGAGAAAAGAGAATTTAGGCCGAAGAATCTCTTTGAATTTTTCAATTTTTTTAAGTTAAAAACTTTCAACACAGGGCATATTTGCCATTTTCACAAAAATTGAAGATCCAGAGTGAAACACAAGGTGCAAACACTTAGAGGTACAGGATGAAACTCCCACTAAAGTTTGATGAAGTCCCAAAACATTAGAATAAGCTCAATCATAAGGATGAATACTCCTTTGTATTACTAAGAGGATACATGACATGTTGTATAAATTGACATACATCACATTCAAATGACTTAGCATACTCTTTGAAGAATAAAGTTTTCAAATACGTTAAGGAATTAAAAAGAAAAGTATTATAATCACAACTGAATATGCTTTTGAAAGAAAAAATCATTATGTTTGCAAGATTACTATGTCCAAGTGAGAGAAAAAAAAAAGGTACAATTTCATCTTTTACAAAACTGTCATCATTATCATATGCCTTCAAGATATTTTATTTCCACACAATCAAACGAGCTTTATATTGCATGTTTGCATTTTCACACATTTTTTCACCTAACAGCTGACTCCCTCCTTAGTCTATCCTTAAATTTCTTTTGTACTTTCTAGGCGGTTCACATCGTCTCTAGCAGACAAACAACACGTTAAGAAGATTGTTTCAGATTGCCCCAGCCAAACTAGTACTGTCACAATCACACTGTTACAGCATCAACATATACTTGCTACAAGTACAACGACAAACTTGCATCAGCATTGATCGAACAAATTAGGCTATATTAACAGCTACCGGCTTTCCCCTACCCATTGAAAATCCTCTTGTACCATCCGGCATTCGGGGCCCTGGTGGTTGCTTGGCAATTACTTGATCCGTGAAAATTGTATTATTTGAAGGGGGTGTTCCCAAACGATTATTCTGATGACAATGCACTCGGCCTCGTCCCTTACCTCGGCCCCGACTTCGACCTTTCCTTTGCCCAGTCTCTTTTTCATAACCATGATCTTCTCCCTGTTTAATTTAAAGGAATTATGGCCTAAACATAGAAAAGTTAAATACCAGTTGCTACTTTGCCCTCAATCTACCAGTTAGAATTTTTCGTATGACAACTGAACAGGGCACGTACATATGCTGTGAAATGCAATGAAAAAATCATTATTCTCAGCATATCTGTAATTCAATAAAGGCGTGTTACCACAAAAAAGAATAAATTTCTTTTCAAGGGCTCAAACATGTTGGAAGGGTTCTAAAACTTGGGGGGAATGGTTTCCAAGCATGAAGACACTCACGAGGCATTTTAAAACCGGTATAATTTTCTTATATAGTTAAGAAGGGATAACAAAGTGCATAAGATGCCATAACTTTCTCACACTTTCAGACAAAAGTCAGGTACAGTACAACACCACAAACATTTAAGATATTTCGTAATGAAATTGGACTTTCATCGTGATAACAAAAGCTGACCTTTGATGGCAACCTTTATTGCGTGCAACACAAGTTAGATTTCAATTTCAATTTCAATTGAAGGGTAGCACCAAAAATCATCTCTGGTACAGCACCCAAGTTGTGTCATATTTATAGAAGTATAACCGTTTTGGTTGACATTCTTGGAATTCAAAGATTCCAATTACCTTGACGGAAACACGATTCTGGTAATTAATTGCTCTTATGCAACAAAACTATTATCTACCATCAACAATCTGTCAATAAAAATAGGCACAAACACTTACAGCATGTTCATGCAACTGAGTATCAGGGAAGGAAGCATCTTCTAATTGTTTCTCACTTGCATGTGGCTCAGGCACAGAAGTATAATCCTCATCACAGCCAACTTCAACATCAAGTCCCTTCTTTCCTCGTCCTTGGGATGGTTTAGACTGAAAAAAAAAAATATCAATAACATAATACATTTAATTCACAAAATTCGCCACCTACCTAATCTTTTTGTTCTTAAAAAAAGCAAATGCTTCAAATAAAAAAGATTTGGGTGATCTAGCTTGTAATGCAATGGCATTAGACTAAGAACTGAATTGACACAAATGTCACTAGTATTCTTCCTTCGAACCAACCAACCTCTTGTTTCCCGTCTGCCTACTATCAAGGCTGAACTTTCAAACCTCTTGCATCTTTGTACCTTCAAAGTTTCGTAATTCTTCCTTCCTAACTTCAAAGAACACTTTTCACAATGAAGGTAGAGGTTTTCTACCCAGAAACCTACCATGAACTTCATCCAAAGACTCATTTGAAACACATAAACTCCACCATTCTCTTCTCACTTCTTGAATTTGGTTTCAAAAGAAAAGTAACCATGACATTGTAAAAGGTTATGACACCCTTGTTTGGACTTCCATAGCAAAAACATCAGTTCATAAATCAGAGAAGAGCTTTCAAGTTTAGAGTAGAAGGTTTTTACTACCTCCCACGATCTTTCCCAGCTGGAGGAATAAGTGTGACTTTGCAATGGAAGGGTCCATCATTTTCATTAACCATGAGAAGATTACTGAATTTTCTAACTTCCATCTTGGGTGAGACAGGTTTGTATTTTCTGGTTGACGGGGTGTCCCTTATAAGATAGCCTAGTTTTTCTTTTGCCATTGAGGACTAATTTCACAGACTGAGACCATCCAACACAGATTTTTGCCATTGAGCTCTTGGATTGAAAGTTTGAATTGGTATCCATGGCCAGATATTAGATGCGATAAGGGATGAAGTGGTTAGCAGAATTAGTGGAAGATGTGGAGGAATTTCCTCGTGTCATAACCAGAGCTGAAGCTCTAATACCATGTGATTTCATGGCTTGCTAGGGAAAAAAACTATAGGGAGATTCCCA